CCCTTCAGCATTAAGTTTAATCATTATTAGTTCAAGGAAACCTTCCTTGACCTTGACAAAGACATTTTTCATTCCATGTGACATGTATCTTTCCTTCGTGGCTCTTTTCACAGCTGTGAAAAGTACATGTACATGTACAAGAGTTTCATGTTTTTCTGTTTCTTCTACTAGCCTGTGAGTTCCTTGAGAGAAGGGACTTGGTCTTTTCTTTTTTCTCTCTCCCCTCTCTTTCTCACTGTTGTACTCCTAGTGCCAGCATGGTGTTTGGCACATGGCACATACTCAAGAAATAGTTATTGAGTAAATGAATAAATATCTGTCTGATGTTAGGAGCTGTGGGAAGGGGAGATGATAGAATTAGTGAAAATAAATAAAAATCGTCCCTCTTATTGTCCAATTTAACTAGTGGGAAAGAACCAGAAGACATGGAATAACAATGGATCAAAGATATAACACACCTCACCAGGCTCGAGTGTGGGGTTATAAAATCATGCTCTGAAGGTTGCAGAGAACTTAAAAGAATGAGAAGAAGAAAAGGAACTCATAGTATATAACAATTTAATATTTACATACTACATACCTTCTGTTGGCAAACTCACAAAAATGCTTAAAACACAGAACCTGCCCCAGGACTTACATGGGTTGGGCAGAGCAGAATTAATGTGCAATTTAAGGCCTTGCTTACTACCCAGCAGGGGCCTGAGCAAAGTGTCAGATGGTTAGCCTCAGGAGGAAGAGGAAGAAAGCAAGTCTGAACTGAATGTCAATTTGCAACTTGAATTGCCTGCCTCCTGGAGATGGGACAGAGACCAGGTTCCAATGTGGGAATCCAGAGAAGCCATTGCTTTCTTACTAAAAAGAGGGGGTGATTTAGAGACAATGGATGGGAGTGAACCTGGGAACCAGTTGTTAGAAGTTGAGATGTGATTGCCTCTGGTCCCTTTCTTAAATCTGGAAAACATGGGCTTGCATCCAGAACTTTTGGTGAAAAGAATTACTGTAAACTTTTCAGCCAAGCCCTTAAGATACAGCAGTGAAAATTAGCCTCCTGAGAAGAAAAAAGACTGAGATCCTGATGTCCTGCTCCCCAGGGGAGAAGAACATTCAGAGCCAGCTACAGGCAGGAGGAGCCCAGAGGAAGGTGTTGGGAGTGCTGTGGAGACCATGGGGGCCTCCTCTCTAATTGGGGATGGGGGGTGGGGAAAGGGGCCAGAAAGGGGGCTGGGAGCAGGAAGAGGTGTCAGGTCTGAAAAACTGTCACTAGAATGCCTTCTAAAATTTAAAGCTGGGATTCGTTACCTATGGACCTTGTGTCTGAAAAATACTCTGCTGCTGAAAGAAAAATTGTGTCTAGGTGTTTTTCAAGGGAGAGTTTTCATAACTCTTATCCTATTCTCTAAGGGGGGTCTTTGAACTATCAAGAGCTTCACCAAGGCTCACTACTGACGTCTAGAGGGCAAAACCCATTTACTGAACCATCTCTCAAATAAGGCAATGATCATTTAAGAAGGGGAAAGCGTAGGCAAGTAGAATATGGTATGGGACATGCTACAAGAAAGGAGGTCATTCCTTCACCCATTCATTCAATCAATATTTATTGAGCACTGTTTAGATCCTGGGATATGGTATTAAACAAAATAGAGAAAAATAATTTCTGCCAAGTAGATTGAAGCTTTCATTCTAGTGAGGGGAGACTAACTATAAACAAAACAAATGAGTAGCATATTGAGCATATTGGAAAGAAGCCTGTGCCAAGGCAAAAAATGAAGTAGCACAGAGGGACAGGAAGGGCTGGGCTGGGGTAAGAAAGTGTTCAAGTTCAAGTTCAACAGAATTGAACTTAATCAGGGAAAGTCTTACTGCAGTGATGTTTGAGCAAAGACCTGAAGAAAGCGAGAAACCAAGCCATGCAGCTGTCTGGGCAAAGAGGATGCTAGACAGAGGAAACAGCAGGTGCAAGGACCCTGAGGCAGGAGTGTGCCCAAGTCATTTGAGGAGGATGGTGAAGCTAGAGAGAAATGAGCATGGGAGGGGCTTCCAGAGAATAAGTCAGAGAGGTAATGGGGGCGTAGATAGTGTGCTATAAGACATCCTATGGCTTTTGACTTTTATGCTGCATGAGAAAGGGAGGCTATTAGAGAATGCTGAGCCAAGAAAATTCTTGATAAGACAGGCTGAGCAGGCTCACTCTGGCTGCTCTGCTGAATATTGCTACCATATGTGCACTTAGGTCTTGATCAATCAGATCTCAACCTGGTACTGAGTACACATGTTTGAGTCTCCATTCCTGTGATGTTTCACTTAGAAGAATGGTCTCCAGATCCATCCAAGTTATCACGAAAGATACTAGATCACCATTTCCCTTGATGGCTGAGGAGTCCTCCATAGGAGGAGCTGTCTGAGTGGAAGGCACTTGTATAACCTTGACTTAATTTGTGGGAAAAAAAAAACCAACAAAAAACCAAAGTATGTAAACAAAACACACATACCTCCTAATATCCTGAAATTTAAAAACAAAGAAAGAAAACCACTAGAAGAAGGCAGAGGTGAAAGCATGGGGATGAGTTTGAAAACTACTGCTGTAATTTGGACAAGAAAGGATTCCATCCTAACCAAGGTCACAGTGAGAAGTGGCCAGCTTCTGGGTGGAACAAAGCCATAGAAAGTTTCACAAAAACCTAGAAAGGAGCAAGAGCAACATATCCTAGTGACCTCACAATATTTGGGGGACATTCCCCATCCATGTAGAAGGCCCGTGTTAGAGACACTTTACAGGTGATGATATGTGATGGCAAAACGGCCCTGGCCCTGCCCTGCACCTGCTGGCCTCCGTGGAAGTCATTTATTTCTTCAAGATGATAGTTTCCTGTTTTTATATATAGAAAGAACACGTTTCTGATTTGCCTAGTGACTTTAGATGGAACTCTCTGCTATCTTGGAATGTCTTCTCATTCTGGTACCTATGATGGGTACCATGCTACAGGAAAGGAGGTCAAGGAGCAAATTTGGTTCAATGAGCAAATTTTAAAACAGCTGAGATGCCATACCAGTGCCAACACTGCTCTTTGAATAAACAACTAGCATCACACTCTGATTTTCCCTTCCCTGGACTTTCCACCACCTACAGGACTTATGCTTGACTTGCTTCTTGGGGCGGGGTGAGGGAGAAATCCCCATGTGGTTATAACAGTACAGCAGTACACCGTGCAAAGCTCAGCCAAGCATCACAGAAGGCACAGGTCCTACTGAAAGTCTGAAAGTACGTAGCCAGCAGGTGCCTAACTAGACAACATCCCTTGTCTATGTCGACAGCCTAAAGCACTGGCCTGGAGAAGGTAGAAAAGGGCAGGTCACAATCTCATAATCCAGGGCAAGAAGGAAGGTCACTGGTAAGATTACCCATGCTGAAACAGCATATAACCAAGCTTTAATAAATAAAAATCTCAGCTCAGCCTGGGGGATGGTTAATGAAACCATGCTAGTCTTTTCTTTTTTTTTTTTGTAACAGGACACAGATGTTAAGGAGGACTGTGGCTGGTACTCTCGAATTGGACTGTCCTCTTCAGGTCACTTCTTTTCCTGAAGCCCCACTTTGTGGGTCCCAAGTCACACAATTGCCTCCCTGCACCAGATCCTGGCTGCACAGGTGGAATCTTGACCTCAGCTGAGCTGAGTAGAGTCTCTTTCTTAAGAGTGTGGGATGGGGCTGTGGAGATTGAGCTTGTTCTCCATCAGCACTGAAGGAGGCTGGGGCTGGCATAGCAGTATTTGAAACAAGCACATACCCTATGGGGCTGCTGACTCACCAAGAGGCACGCATGCAGAGAAAACTAGACCAGGAAATGGCTTGGCCCCAGAGAAACTGACAGGACAGGCCCAATGCTGATGTTCCATTTCACCAGTCCCTGGTGAGGCCTTTGCCAGTTCCTGCCCTGGTTTCTTTGAGTAACTATTGTATCTACGTAGTAAATCCCTCTTTGTTGCTTAACATCATTGGATTTCTATTTCTTATAACAAAATAATCCCTGAAGTGTATCAGTTAAGATTCTATTGCAATGTGGAGAAATGCTTACGTTATAAAACAAAAGTTGTTAAATCGCATATATATTCTATGTTTGTCCTTCTGGAAAAACCATGTAGATGAACACACTGGAAGGGACACATAAAAATATCTCTGGTAGTTTAAGGTATTTTGTTTCCAAATTTCCTCAATTTACTTGAGATTTTAAAATGCTGAATTTGCTGCATACCTGCAAGACTCTGAAAAAACTCCTGAGCCTTTCCCTAGTCTGACTGCCCCTCTTCTGGAGAGCGGTTCTGTTTTCTCGTGCTGTGCTAAAGCTTCATTTATGCTTTCAGCACAGCTTTCAGAGTCTTGCAGGTATGCAGCAAATTCAGCATTTTAAAATCTCAAGTGTTTGAGCTCTCTGGGAATCCGGGTAATGATTTCACACCAGAGGAGGGTCCTAACTGCAGAAACTGTTGCAAAACAAACAAATAACCCTGAAATTAACAAATGCATGAATATAGTAAGTTTCCCTTTTTTTTAAAATATAAAAATTATGGAAGAACTGACATATCTCAGGGTCCCACAAATTCCATGGCTGGGCAGACCCATGGTGCTCTGTGAGTTAGTGCTGTGGGGATCTGGGCTCAGCTGGTATAACCCATACATTTCACAAAGGAAGGCACTTGGGCCCAGAGAGGAGAAAGGACCACTTCAGGGTATTGTACACATTCACTGATCAGTGCCAAGGACTTGGATTCCCTCCAGCTAATCTGGAGTTGACTCTTTGAGATGACCCAGGAAGGGAAGCTGGAGGCTCTGAACCCACTTTTTCTCCACATTCAATGAAGGACTTGGGCATGACCGTGCAGAGTTGTTCTCTGGTAGTCTCCCTTGAATACTGTTCAAAGAAGTTTCACATCTGCAGCTATTTGCTCCTCATCATTGAGATGTCACAGACACCTGCCTAGGTAAAGCTTGGTGGGGTCCTTACCTCCAGAGGGTGTGCCAGCAACTCTCCTGAGGAATTTAACCCACTCCTCCATCTCCGTCTGAGAGCTGGCCATGAGGACGTAGGAGTCCTGTCCCATGCGATTCTGGTCCCATGAGGCTGCAGGAAGAAGCAGCACTTATGAAGGTCTTAGAGTGGTAAAGGGGCTAGAGCTAAAGGGAGGGGAGGGAGGCCAAAGCTGAGCTGATGCCCGATTCACTGAAGCACCATCAAATACAAAAGCCTTATCTAATGATCCTCTGTGGAATGGACATCCATGCACTCTCACTGTTATTGCTGAAGCTCTAATTCTACAGACAAATCATTAAACACTGTGGCTTGCTATTGGGATGGCTTGGGCTGAGGGCTGCTTTCACAGAGGGCAGAAGCTATTCCTCCCAAAGGAATAGGAAGTTCCTGGTGCAGCTTCAACATCAGAGGAGACAGGATCAGCCCATAGAAGCTCAAAGACTTTAGATCATCCCTCCAATCACTTTCATAAACTAGCCCTGAGCTCAGGTGTAGAGGCGGGAAAGGGGGTGACAACCTCAGAGGGAGAGACAATGTGCACATGTGTGAATGTTTTTTATAATTTTTTCACTTCCTGTTCAGATTACTGCTCTCTCTCATTTTTTTTTTTTTTTTTGAGACAGCCTCAAGCTATCCCCTGGGTAGAGTGCCATAGCATCACAGCTCACAGCAACCTCCAACTCCTGGGCTCAAGCAAGTCTCCTGCCTCTGCCTCCCAAGTAGCTGGGACCACAGGCACCCACCACAACGCCTGGCTATTTTTTGGTTGCAACCGTCATTGTTGTTTGGCGGGCCAGGCTGGATTCGAACCCGCCACCTTAGGTGTATGTGGCTGGTGCCTTAGCCACTTGAGCCAGAGGCGCCGAGCCGGGAGATTACTGCTCTCTTGACCACGCAAACCCTTGCAATGGGAGGTTCCCAATACTCAGTTAATGGACACACAAACCTTATTAGGACTTTTACTACTTTTGCCTCAAACCTGAGATTACAGACATGTATGTTGTTTCCTGGATTGATGTTCTCAAATGGACAGAACATGGAAAAAATGAGAAGGAGGCAATGTGGGAGGAGTGGAAAGAGAGAAGAAAGAAAGAAAGAGGGGAAGTGATGAAAGAAAGGAGGAAGGTAGGGAGGGGAGCAGGGAAAAGCAAGAGAGGAAAAAGTATCAAACATTGGTTTTAGAGCATGGAGTTAGTAGCAGATACAAGATTAGAACTTTCACACCTCCCATTGATTTCTTGCATGTAGAAATCTGCAAGGTTGGAATTTTCTTTAGTTGGTTAAAAAAAAAAAAGAAGAAGAAGATCTTAGGAGGGACAAGAAAAAAATAGTGATCTCTTTCAAACTATAAGATTAAATTCCAAAGTGCCCTTAAAAACATCAACCCATTCCTCTCACAATGGCAGGCCACCTCCCTCAGAGAGAGCCTATTCTAGCTAAACAGCTGGGCCCAAACCTATATTTTCCTGCAGGAAAACAAAAGATAATCAAATCCCCTCAGGTTATGGTTTCCTGTGTTAATGTCACTGAGCCTCACCTTCTTTCACCCTTTGGGAAAACCTAATTCTGAATCCATCTTGTCACTGAGTGATCAGTCCTCCTGACCAGAAGGGTCCCTCTGTGAAAGCTCTGGCCACTCAGGAACATCTGGAGAGCTGGGTGTTTCCAGAGGTAAAATGAGAAGTTAAAAGTGTTCAGGACAGAACTTAAAGATCCCCTAGGAATTACAATATGCCTTGGAAATAGAATGGGAAAGTTAGTATTTCCCATTTCACAGATGATAGACCTGAAGCTCAGAGATGCAAAAGTACCTGCCCATTATTATCCAGGGAGTCAAGAGCTGGGCAAGGCCACTAGGTCACTAGTTTTCTTGCTCCCAAGAGAGATTTCACTAGCTGACATTGCTTCCAAATTTGACCTTGGTCAAAATTTATCTGGAATCCTTTCCCACAATGCCTTCCCCTCCCAGTCCACTATGTTGTCAAAGCAGGCCTTCATTGTTTTCCCTATTTCTTGGGAGATTGTTCTGTTCAGTCATGAGCAACTCCACTGGGAAACACCCAACTCTCAGGATGTCCCTGAATGGCCAAGGCTTCCATGGACTGACCCTCTACCCAGGAAAAGTGATGATATGATGACATGATAGATTCAGAATCAGGTTGCCCAAAATGATGAAAGAAGGTGAGTCTCAGTGATGTTAATATAGGTCCAAGTAAGTGTTTGCACATAATTGGGGTCCTGGGATAGGCTTTCTCCAAGGGCATTTGCCTGGCATTGATGCAAAGCCCAGGAACAGAAACTCTGCCCTTGAGGACATACTCTCTCACATGTCCAACATATGTTACCTATTAGGCTGTTTCCCTCCCTTCTTTTCTTAACCTACTTAGGGAACTCTTTCCCATTCTTTAAAACCAGGCTCAAATGTTATCTTCTCTAGGAACCTTGTCGGAAAGTCCTCTCTCTGTACTCCAAATTGAGTGTGTGTGGGGGGTGGGGTGGGGTGGGCTGTCCCTACTCTATAATCTCTTACATCCTATCCTAACTCTTATCACAGCAGCAGCTAAATTATATTGAGCATCAGTTTAAATTATATTGAGCATCAGTTTCCTTAGAACACTTGAGATGATTACTTAATACCACATATGTCTAAAACTGAAGCCCTAATCCTCCCACTCACACACACACACGATAAACAAATAAATCTTAGCAAATACCAGCAAATCTTACCTTTCCCACTGTGTAGGCCAAAACCTTGGAGGCAATCTTGATGTCTCTTTCCCACATCCAATCCATCATCACATGCAGTCCGTTTTGACTCCATCAGAAACTGCTTATTTCTCAGCCCCTTCTCCTTGCTGCTCTGACTTGCTCTTCTTCTAAGAGCTCCTCACTGCTCTCCCTGCTCTGCTCTTGCCTCCACTACTTATTTTTATTCTCAAATCAGAAGAGCTTTAAAACATGAGTTGAGTCATATTATGTCACTCCTCTGCTCAAAATCTCACAACAAAGTCCTTTCCACTACCCACAAGCACATATGAAATCTGTGCCCACCCCGATCAAGTCCCTCACTCTCGTTCCTTCAGGACTCCACTCCAACCACACTGGCCTCCTTCATGCACGACATAGGTTTTGCACTGATGTTCCCCCTCCTTGGAACACTCTTCCTTCAGATGTGCCCTCAGCTCACTCTGTCAGCTCCTTCAGATCTTTGCCAAAGGTCTCCTTGTCAATGACACACACTCTGTGGGCTCTGTTTAGAACAACAAACCATCCACCTTAGCCATGTTTTCTTTGCTTTAATTTTTTCCATGGTATTTATCCCATAAGAGAAACCACATGATTTACTCATTTATTTAGTTTGTTTCCAGCCTCTCTGCAACCCCCCACCCCCAACAATGTTGTAAGCCGCGTGGGATCCCTGGTTCTGCAATAGTACCTGGCTCGGAGCAGGTACTCAATAAATTTGTTGTATAAATGAATGACAGCAGCTCCTAAAGTGGTGTGAGAATTAAATGAGATTATGTATGCAACAGAAGGAACAACCCACACTATCCCTGAGGACTCCCTGGGGTAGGGGAAGAACAGATACTCATATTTACTCTGTTAGAGGTTAGGAGGGAGAGAGAAGTTTGCCCTAAATTGTTGCCGGCCCCCAATTAAAAGAAACACCTAGCATAATTACAATTAAAGGTTTCTATGTAGGCTTTGTGCAATGAAAACTGGTGATCATAGAGAGATAACCCTGACCAGGATGCCCATTTCTTGCACCAGCAGTGGCCCCTTGCACAACAGAATGACAAAAGGAGGAACTAAAAATTCTCTACATCATCACATAAAGGATGTTTCGCTTTAGATGGAGAGTAGACTTGGAAGACAGTGGTACCTTTAGGAAAATGGCTTCCTACTTTACTGTTGTTTTGTTGCTTTAGATTTGTCCTTATGAGACTCTCTGTGTGTGTGTGTGTGTGAGAGAGAGAGAGAGAGAGAGAGAGAAAGAGAGAAAGAATCAGTTCAAGAGTTTCCCCAGCAGCCCAGGAGACTGCTACAAGCATTAATGATAACAAGGTAAGAAATCTTATAAAACTTATCCTCCCATGCCATCGCAATGTAAGAGGATAATGCACTTTTGGTGAAAGTCCACAGTGAATTTTCAGCTGCAGCTTTCAGCAGGATTATCCTACATTGAAAACTCAGGTTTTAGGATACGTGTGGCCAAGGATGGTTGTGTCCCATAAATTGTACTGGGACAGGGATCCTAAGACCAGAAGAACCCTTGTGGGAAGGGAGTCGGACTTTCCTAGAGAGGAGAGACTGAAAAAGCAGGCTCTTCCTCTTTTATCTTACCTTCAGATCACAAAGCAAAGGAGGACCCATGAGGGGAACACCTGGGGACTAAACCAATTTCATTTCTTGGTTCTCTATAAATAGTCATAGTCAGGTTTAGGATGTTTTTCCTCTATTTTAATTCCCTCTAATTATTCCCAAAATATCCAACACTTACATGGTACTTACCATAGGCAATGTACCAAATGTTTCATATAGATTATTTAACTCTCACTGTTACCATCACTGACCCCACTTTTAAAGACAAAGAAACAGAGGGAGAAATTAAGTAACCTGTTACACAAACCGTAAGGGTCAGGAGAAGGACCAGGGCAGGCTGGCTGCAGACTGAGCACTTCTAACCTGTGTGCTACTCTGCCTTTTCCATGAACTTTCTTATGGACACAGCTTGTGTAAGTGGGAAGGAGGGAATTACAGGCAGGGGCACTCAGAGGAGTTGCAGCCTCCCTGCACTGCAGTAAGGCATGGCTAGATGGGCAGTCCTGGAGTTCTCAGCAGGGTCAGGGATGGGGTAAGAGCAAGAGGCAGGGAGGCCGGGGAAAGCTCCTCAGCATGGCAGATTCAGAAACAGGAGCCAAACTCCCCTTGCGGCAAAGGCACTAGAGGAGGGCAGCTCTGGGATGGGAGGAATCACCCTCCTGTGTGCTGCTCCCATATGCACTAGGTGATGGCAGCACCTAACACCTGCTAGGTGCTCATGAAGTGGGAGCTATCCTTCCTCATTAAGTCATGTTGAATCAAATGAGATTGCTGACTTTTCACCATTTTTGACTCACCAAAAATGGCAATTTCATATGGTTCAATTTCTATTTACTGCCTAATTTAAATGTCCTACCCACTCACCTTCTAGAGACAGAACTCACGTTAGTGAGGAGAGATGATACACTTTTTAAAATCAGTGGTCTAATGCCTCACTCATCGCCAGGGTCCAGGCAGGCACTGGTGAAATGCTCACAGGGTTGAGCTGAATGCACAGACCCTTGGTTCACTGGTGTTATTTAAACACTTGATACTATTTAATGAACTAGGACAGGTTCATTAGCTATAGAACCCCTGTGTGTTCTCAATAGGCTGGTTGGTGAGTTGGTTGAAGGACTCACTGAAGATAGCTTGCTGTCTAGGATCCAGAAGTAAAACAGGTGCGGAACACACTTCTGTGCCAACTTTCGTCACTTACCTGGAATGATTTCAAAGACAAACTTCCCAGCTTCTTCTGGGTTTGTGGCGATCTCCTTGATTGTGCTTCCTGGGAGATACATGCAGCCCTGAAAGATCAGAAGTCAAGCCTTTTAGAAGAGCAGCAGTTTTATCACCTGAAAACCAAAATTAAGTTGGAACAGATAGGAGAAAGTTGGGACAGGAGGCGTGTAGGTGAAGGGAAGCCAGGACCCAGTTTTATTGGGGCTCTTCTGCTACCCAGGCCCTGGGGAAATTTAGTGGCAGCTCCCAGAGAGCAAGCTAGGTGCCTAAAGAGAGGACTCGGTCCCAGAAGGACCCAACTTCAAGGGCAATGCAGACACTTGGTCTTTGTGAGACTGGGGTGGGAAGGCATACTACCAACCAGCTTGTGGAGGGTGCAGTTAGAACTGACCAGTGGCCCTTTGCAGGATCGGGGCATCTAGTCCTTCTTGCAGCCCTCCATGCAGGGGGTCATTGTGTCCATTTACAAGTGAGAAAACTGGAGATCAGAAAGGTTCTGTAATTTGCCCAAGGTCACAGAGCCAGTAGGTAGCAGAAAGGCAGCTCATTCCAGAAAAGAGTCCAAAACCAGTTTTCCTCACAGCCAAGGCAGGAGGAAACGTCACCTTAACTCCACTGCTACCCTCGATCCCCTGAGGGGTGTGCTGGTTCACTGGGCTGTGTGACTGCTTACACACAAGTATGTTAGCAGAGAAGCAATCACTTCCAACCTGTGCATGCAGCGGCTTCCTCACTCCCAGAGCTCTTTCACATGCGACAGCTCATGAGGCCCCACAATAGCTCCTTAGGGAGAGCTTGGCAAGATTTATCAATTTATCACTGCCACTGTACAGACAAGGAAATGACACTGTGAAAGGCTGAGTGACTGTGTAAAGTGACACAGTGAAGCTACACTGGAGTTAGTTACTCCTTATTACATCTCAGTGGATGTCAAGGTAGCAACTTCTGGGTCTAGTAAACACGTGTGTCTTCATTCCAGAATAAAGTGGATGGAGAGGACTGGCAAGAGAGAACACTCCAAAGGCAAAGGGTGAAAGGAAATCTCAGAGGTGACATCTGCTCAGGACCCTGATAAATGTTTCTTGAAGGTCTAGAAATAAAAATGTGTAAGACCGAGGAGAAGACAGGAGGAAGGAAGGAAGAACAACAGGAGAAAGGGCAAAAGGAGGGGAGCATGAGGATGGATGAGAGGAAAAGTAAGAGGGAGAGAAAGAGAAGAGGGGAGAGGAAAAGGAGAGGAGGAGACGAGAAGAAGTCTGTCTAGGAAACGGAATTCTGCAATTCCTCTACATTCTCTGATTTCATTACTTAAAGATAACCTTTACCTCCATGGCCCTCACCATCTTCAGCCAACTATATCACTGTTCTCAGAAAAAGTGACCCTGAGTTTGTGCTGCTGGGCTACTTTGGATGAGTTATGGCCCCAGAATTAAAGGCCGTGTTACTTCTAGACAGGAAAGAGCATGGCTTTGCCGGAGGAGGAGGAGGAAGGTACATCTCCACAGTGCCTGCTTCCCTTAAGTTCCTCTCTCTAAACTGCCATTGATACCCCAAATCATTTCATCAGAAGATGGCAAAAATAAAATACTAAAAATATACAGGCCATTTATTGAGCAGTTAGTCCGAGCTGATTGCCTTGGAGGTGCTAGCATATCTAATCTTCCTAACAACTCCGTGAGAGAAGAACTGTTATTTTCCCCATTGGAGAGATGAGGCAATAAGGCTCAGAGAGGTGAATTAGCAAACCCAGCATTACAAAACTGATTACTAACTCTTAGGACAGCTACGATTGAAAGCTCAGTCAGTGTGATTCTAGAATTACAAATATGGCTTTACTTACAAGTCCCATTTGCTAGAAGAAGTGACAACCAGAGTTAAACTTATTAGCACCAATAGGTAAATGACTAATTGCAGGCCTTCCCTCCCCCACACCTGTGCTGAGAATGAAGAGACACAAGTGGGGGTGAGGCTGAGTCCGTTGATGTGGAAGGAAGAAGGGTCCAGGTTGCTGTGAACCACTATCACCCACTTTGCAAGGGTGGGCTCTGTGCAAAGAAGGAAGGAGGGAGAAGCTTACGATGGAGGCCACAAGTGCCACAGCAACGGAGCAGGGGAGGCAGCTGTGGCACTGGGGTGCTAGAAATCCAAATATAAGTTTATCTATAAGTCAGTTATAGCCCAGCTCCTAATTACAACATTTTCCAAAATGCTTATGTTGGTTCAGGAGAACTAACTGTTACATTTTCAAGAGCTCTGTGAGCCAGTTGTTAGAAATGGCAGAATTTAAATTCTATAAACTTACAATGTAATAGTTTATATTAAAAAAGGTAATGATACTCAAAATTTATGACTTCCTAATTATTTATTGTATCCTATTGTTATTTCTGCTGATGTGGCTATTTATATCTACTCTGTATGTGTGGTGGAAATTCTGTATCATGTTGCACTATTGCACATATTTTCTCAACTCTGGGTTCAGTGACAGGACATTGGTTGTTTACAATGTCAATCACAATGGGAGTATTTGCACCACAGAAATTAGTACATGTTGCACTTCAATCAATTCTCCTACCAGAGAGCTGATTGTCAAAAACCAATGGTGGGGTGGAGTGAGGGGGTAAAGGGCCAGGGACTGACCCCACCACTGATGGTTTGTGGTTTGTTTTTGCATGTTCTGTTGTCCTGCTTAAACAGATGTACAAACCCCCCTTCAGTGGGGTTAGTCCCTGACCCCAGCCACTGGTATGTGACTGTCTAGATGTTTATTGGCACACCGCCAGTAGACAACCACCTGGGTTACCTTTTCAGAAAACAAGGGGATGAGGGAGTAGGACAATGGATTTACCCTACTAAGCTAGGATTGTCCAAAACTGTGATTGGAGCAAAAACTTGAGGGCAATTTTCTGAGATTCTGCTTTAAACAACTTCCCTGACAAAGAACATTTCACACTAGGTTATATAAATAGATCATGGACTTACAGAACATTATGCTATTAGAGCTAGATAGGCTAGGTAGGATATTTCTGAGAACATGGAGGAAAAGAAATGCACAGATTGCCTTTTATAGAGCCACAAGATTCCCGACAAGCACATACAGAAAAATCTAGAACATAGGATTCCACAATTTTTAAAAATATTCTCTTCTGGTCCAAGGTTTCTCATCATAAATAGCAGTGTATATCTTTTATTATTTTTTTTGGAAAGGAACTTAGAACCAGAATCACTGGCATTGATAATTGAAAATCTGACCAAATGGCTTTCTAGAAAGGTTATACCAACCCACAACATGATTTTCAGTGTATGTGAAGGCTCTCTTCATCTGACTGCTCCAAGATTATTGGTATATTTCTGCTTTTTGGTTTCTTGAGGAATAGGATGTATGGGCATTTTTAAATTTACAAAGCATCATATTTTAATTGTAAAAATATTATAAAATAAACAAAAAGAAATTAAAAATAGTATATGTAACCCTGGTACACAAAGACAATCCTTTAACACATAGATTCGTAATTTTTTTCAAGAATAGAATTAATATATACATCATCTTCTGTTGAAAACTCTTTTTCTTTAAGACAATAATATCATGCAAATCTTTGCTTTCAAAACTATTAATTTAGAACATCAATGTCTGAATTGTATTCTATTGCATAGATATATAAAAGTACAGGCTGGGCGTGGTGGCTCATGCCTGTAATCCCAGGACTCTGGTAGACTGAGGTGGGTGGATTGCCTGAGCTCAGGGTTTCAAGATCAACCTGAGCTAGAATGAAACTCTGTCTCTAAAAATAGCCAGGCATTGTGGTGGGCTGCTACTTGAGAGGCAGAGGCAAGAGGATCTCTTGAGCCCAAGAGTTTGAGGTTGCTGTGAGCTATGACACTATGGCACTCTACCAAGGGCAACAAAGTGAGATTCTGTCTCAAAATAAATAGATGAATAAATAAATAAATGTCAAAAAGTTTGTATTTTTAGATAGGCATTATTGCCCTCCAGAAAGGTTGTATGGATTTTCATTTCCACCAGCTGTGCATAAGAATTCCTATTTCCTAGTCCTTATCAAGCAAAACTTCTGGAAAATGTTTGCCAATTTGATAAGAGTACGTTGATGTCTTATTAGCTTATATCGTATGTGTTATCACTGAGATCGAACTTTGTTTTATATGTTTAGTGGCCATTATATTTCTTTGGTAAATTGTTCATTTGTATCATAGTTCTTTCTTCTATTAAGCTGTTTGAACATTTCTTTCTTTCTTTTTTTTTTGGAGTTTTTGGCCAGGGTTGGGTTTGAACCCACCACCTGTGGTATATGGGGCTGGCGCCCTACTCCTTGAGCCACAGGTACCACCCTGAACATTTCTTAAGGATTTGAAATAATATTTTAAATATTAAGAATATTTGTTTACTACAATATTTGAACATACACAATTTTTCCCTGTTTATTATTTGCCTTTTAGGTTTATTTTTTATTTTTTAAGGTATATTTTTATTTATGAAATTAAATTAGTCTTTCTTTTGTGCTATTATACCTAATCCCACTCTCCCAGATATTATGCAGATATCTGCATTTTCTTCTAGTATTTTTATGAATTCACAAAATTTAAGCATTTAATCCAAGTGGAATAATAACTGGTATAAAACGTAATGTGAAAATGTTACCTTTACTCTTTCCCAAAAATTTAGCTCATGTCTATAACTTTCATTTTATTTCTAGATATCTTCAATGTCTAGAAATCTTATAACACAGTTAAATGATGGTATAATAATGGTTTTTTATTTTAAATAGTTTTTAAAATCTTAAATAATTGTGGCTGTATGAAAAATCTATAAAGCTATCCACTTAATTCTTATTTGTGATAATAATACATGAAAATCAGCCCAAATTTCCAACAGTAGAAAATTAATTAAATAAATTATAGACCATCCATACAATTATTTTGCCACCATTAAGAATTTCATTATATAAATGCCTATATCCAGAAATCAGAAAGATCAACAATTTAATGAATCATCTCGGGGAACAAGAAAAGGGAAAGTAATCCAATCCCAAACCTAGGAGAAGAAAAGAAA